GGCCCAAAGAAAGGGCCCCAGATGCTAGCCCCACCGCCACATAAAGATACCACGGGGCACGCATCATGGGCGAGCGATCAGACGAGATTCTTACTACGGCTTATCGGGACCGGACCGGACACGGAGAAAAAGAAGGCAGGAGGACAGCGATCGCACTGAACACGACAGCGAGGCGTCTTCCTTATTGGCCACGAGCTTGAGCACGGCGCGAGACGGGAACATGATGCGGAGGACGCAGGAGTCGGGAGGCAGCGATGGCATCACAGCTACGATAATGCTTCCACGTCGGTTCTTTTTATTTTCATTTTGTCTACGAGCACGCACGGCACGCCCGTCTGAGGGGAGGAGGGCGTAACAGCGAAAGGAGATGGGCCGAGGGGAGGAGTATGAGAGAGGCCTTTTGTGTCTGGTACGGCCTTCTGGAGCATGGGAAGGCAGCTCTTCAGCATGTAATAATTTCTCTTGGTGTCTTGTACTTTTTCTCTCCCTTCCACACCCGCCTTCCCCCTTCATCCCACGACGGGATGACCCTCAGCCCCACCTCGTGTGCCAATACAGCCAAGACCAATTCTCTTACCACGTCCCATTCATCCAACCGTTTCAATGGGCTTGTCAATGAGAGGTGCCACTGGTTAGGGGCTTTTGAACATGTTTCAAGGATTCCAGAGCAGGAGGACAGCAGAATGACTCGGACGTGGCACGTCTTGTTGACTCCCATTGCTTGTGCCAGACGTCGAGTCGCAAAAGGAATTACGTGCAGCTATCATGTGCATTGTGGCGGCTCCCTCAAATCGCACCGATCAGAGCCACTTCAGCAAGGAGCTGGGGCCGAGCCGTCACTCAAATGCATGTCAGCTGGGTTCTAGTGGATCAATGGTATCTGTATAGGTGTGTGGCGGATGTGAGACATGGCACCTTGCGTGAGGGGGGAGGATGTAAATGCAGTGTCGCGGGAGGGGTCAGTGATGTGCATCACCGGTCCGATGACTGTCAATCAGATTCTTGCCGAGCACCTCCGGATTCCAGGGTCGACTACTACCATCCGGCCCGTCTTCTTAGTCGTCCCGGTGGTTCATGGTTTTTTTACGTTCTCCCTTGGGGAACTGGCGGTGTCAGTGTTCTGTCAGTCGAAGTATCTTCTTTCCGAACGGAATGCCCAGCTCTGCCGGCAGCCTCCACTCGACAAAGCTCTACATCAGATTTGCTACATTTTTGTTGCGCACCACCAGACTTATGCAGCACGCTTCCTTTTCCTGATGGACCTGGCCAGGCGCGCCCGTTCACCTCCCCGCACAGCCTCTTGGCCATAGACAGCCATGGCCACAAGATTGACTGCGCTTTATGGTTGACCAGCGGAAGAGTTGGGCATCGAATCTGTCGCGGGTCAGGATGGTTGTGAGGGCGGAGATGCCTCCCTCATCTTTGTTCGAGGCAGTAAATCAGAGGGTCATGTCAAATAACCCAACACTGCATTCAGCTCGGTCCTGGATGGGTATAACTCTGAAGAGGGACAAGTTAGAAGTCTGAGCACCATGGATTACGCGACCCTGACGAGACGTGCTTCGCTTGGATACCTCCTGACCCGGCATTGTACTAAGGATGTCTATGGTCCATTGGACATGGATGTTCGGTTGGAGCCTCCAGATCTCACCTCGTCCGACGACGATGACGACGAACAGGCATGCTTCGTTGAAATATTTGCTGTTAGATGACTATTTCGCGAACTTCCACGCCTCGGGCTTATGTCTACCTTCTTGATGTTCGGTCTCCTATGCTTCTGGCCTTGAGCTTGCCCACCAGACTTGACGTATCCTGCCAGGTGCAAAGGGCCGAATTTTCAAAATTCGGCATGATCTCACATCAAGACTGATCAGCAAACGTCTTTAATAATGATATTGACTTTGCCATCCTGCTTCCCGGCCATACCCATTATATCTGACATGCTGAGAATTGGAAGGTTTTAGCACCGCGTTGCTGTGTAAATGCCCGAATTCTCCTTGTCAGCGTCAACCTAAGCTGCCTGACTAGTCAATCCTGACTCAAGTGAGGACACAAGTACTCAATACGGATGCGCTATCAGGCCGTGCCGCACGAACAGCGACGAGAGCTCAGTAGAGTCCAACAGGAAATTACAGCGGGCAACAGGTGGTGAACGACCGCCAGTGAGTGGTACCCAGGGCATCGAACACCCCGCATCCATGACGCTAGGCTCACGCGCTGGGGCACTGACGACCCCTCCACCAACTCCTGCACTGATGAAGCAGCCTCGTCAGGCCCTCGTCGACCCATTGCATTTCATCCAGTCCAGCCTTGTCCGCGGGTGATCACTGTCGACTCACACCCCTCACCATGGCCGACGAACCGCTCACCTCGGCCGCCGCCACGGCAACGACAGCAACAACGACCGCGGCAGATTCCCCCCCTCCAGCGACGCACCCCGAGTCTGACGCTCAGGCTGCCCCCCTCCCCCTCCCCCGCATCGCCATACGGTTCTGCACCCAGTGCAAGTGGATGCTCCGCGCCGCCTATGTAAGCAAAGACACCACGTCCCTCCCAAACGTCATCGCAGCCCAGATATCAGAGTCTCAGACGGCTCTCTCTCTCTCCCTCTCAGTTCTCCCGCATGAGCATCCCAGACGAGCACCGACGATATACACACAAGTCCTCGTCACTAACCGCAAACCAACCCCTCCCCACCAGTTCGCCCAGGAACTCCTCTCCACCTTCTCCACGTCCCTCGGCGAGGTCGCCCTCATCCCCTCCACAGGCGGCACCTTCACCGTAACCATCACCACCGCAGCCGACGCAGCGCCTGCGAGCAACAGCACGAGCACGAGCACGAGCACGAGCACCAAGACGCTCTGGGACCGCAAGACGGACGGCGGCTTCCCCGAGACCAAGGAGCTCAAACGCCGCGTCCGCAACGTCATAGACCCGTCGCGCAACCTCGGCCACGTCGACCGCGATCACGCCCGGCCCGCTCCCGCACCCGCCAGCGCCGACACGGTCGCCATGCCGTCTTCCGCGTCTACCGGCGCCGCGGCCGAGGCGCCTGCGCAGTCGCAGGGCACCGCTCTCGACGACGAGGCGAGGAGCCGCATCGCTGCCGCCAGGACGAACAAGGGCCAGGCCGCGCCGAGCGGCGTCGATGGGGCTTCTCTGGTCAGCGAGCTGAAGGGGCCCGGTCCGGCGCAAACTCAGGCACAAGCATCACGAGAGGGACAGACCGGTGAAGCCAAGGCTGTATGCGGGGACTGCGTGTAGAGACCTTGTCTGCCTTGGGCCCCAACGTATTCGACATGCACCTCATAGAATGGACGGGGCACTAAGAAAGGTCAACCCGTGTATGGCATTCCCTCGTCGCATCATGAGCTGAGGCACACTATCTCGCGTAGAATACATCATGAACCATCGGATCCATCTCGTGAAACTAAAAGCCCATGCTCCCGATAGGGCAACAGAACGACTAACAAAAGCAACTTAACAGAAGGAGAAACAAGAACAGGCAGTCAGAAGGAAAGTGGCAAGTGGTCATATGCCCAGAGACGGATGCACCGCACTGTCATCATGGCATCACCTTGACCTTGGGGATCTGCGAATGCTGTGGTCACCCACCCCACAGATTGACCATCATTTTATCGTACAATATCGACCGCATGATCGCTGGTACTGGCAACCCTACCTGTGGGCTCTGAACCAATGTTCCCCCCACCGTGTGTTCCTCGACTAGGCCATCCGTCATTGGCTGCCATTCAATCTCACAAGGCGGTGTAATTGAGCCGCTTGCTACAGAGCATTCATGGGAAAGAATTTTCTGTAAGACGGCATCGCACATCTCAATAGAACGCGAGATGCACATTCACACTGTGATGATGGTGTGCAACCATTTAAACCTGAGGAACCACTCCGCAACCCAAATCCGCATGGTTTTCTTTGCGCAAGTCACATCAGCCGCGCGTAGACCGGGACCATGTCAAATTCCAGTGTTTTTTTTGTGTGGTTATCTTCAGCTACTAGAGACAGCCGTGATCGTGATCAGAGTTGCGCGCGATGTTCGTCGTGTCAGTCGGTTGGGGTACGGGATTATTTGGGGAGGGCGAGGATGAGCATCCCGATGGGAGAGGAGACGAGTTGGTCCACTAGGCACGGAGGACGTGTGCGCTGGAGAACAGTGGAGCGTTGGGTCGTTGAAGAGAAGCGTTGGTCGGTCAATCCGAGTGTCACAGGGCACGTTCGATGCGAGCGTTGCAGGCGATTAACGACGGCCAAACCTAGAAAAAGCAAAACGTTGGCATAAACTCTTTCATGACAGAAGTGCAGGCAGGCAATTGGGTGCTGATAGGGCCCGAAACAGCCGCGCGGGGGGGCTACGAGACACTTACTTTTGTTTCTTCTCAGCAGGCTTGAGGATCTGGAATGCAAAGTACAACGTTAGCAATGTACTAAGATGAGGCGTCTGCCACAAGGTGCACCGACCTGGAATGAGCACAGAAGACTCTCGTCCACGCTCATCATGGCTCCTGCATTGTCAAACTCTCCGCAGTAATTGGGCGCACTGAAGAGGGTGACGAGTTGGCGCTTGGAGAAGAACTCATATCCATCCTCGACGACCTGGTGAGCACGACAAATCAAGTCCATGTCATGCTTTTGCAGGAATCGGGACACAACATCGGGACCAAACGTGAAGGACACTCCACGGTCGTTTTCGCTCCAGCCGGTGATATCCTTGTCGGGATCAGACCACAACAGATCGCAGAGCAGGCCGCAGTCAGGAATCTACAGAAAAAGAGATGTGGTTAGTTGATTGTGATCTGGGACGGGCTAGGCGTAGGCTCGGCGGGCTTGAGGCAACATACGTCAGTGGGGCGCATGACGCGGCGGATTTGCTCCATGGAGTTCAGATCCGGGCTGAGTCCGCCGTGCATGGTGAAAATCTTCTCGTCAATGATGGCCGCAATGGGCAGACAGTTGAAGCAGTCGGTGAAGGTTTTCCACAGCTTGATGTTGTAACGACGCTTGCACTCATCGTAGAAGCCGTAGATGCGGTTGATCGAGGCACACTCGTGGTTGCCACGGAGGATGAAGAAGTTCTCCGGATACTTGATCTTGTAGGCGAGGAGAAGGCAAATAGTCTCAAGCGATTGCTTGCCACGATCAACGTAGTCACCCAGGAAGAGGTAGTTGGCTTCCGGAGGGAAACCGCCGTATTCAAAGAGGCGCAGCAGGTCGTAGTACTGTCCGTGGATATCACCGCAGATCTGGAAGGCTGTCAGCTCTGCCGAAAGAACCGGACGCATGCGTGAGGTGCTTGATCACTGACCTTGATGGGAGCCTCAAGCTCGAGCAGGATGGGCTGAGAAATGAAGATCTCGCGAGCCTTGGTGCAGAGATAACGGATCTCGGACTCGAGAAGCTGGACCTGCTTACCGGGCCTGCTTCCTCGGACCTCGAGAAGACGGTCGATCACGTTGTCGAGATCGATCTCATGTTGGTCTGCCATCTTTTATTCCTCACCAGCCAGTGACTTGGCCGAAGATTGTGAAGAATTCGTGGGGCGCCTGCGATTTACAAATGATGCAGTTGAGGCTTGCGGGTGTGCACGAGACAGCCGGCCTGCGTGTCGGATTCGATGCACTTCTTGGGCTAGTTGGGAGGGTGACGCATGTCAGCAATCGTCGCACGAGGTTTGCTTCGGAATGCGGCAGCTGAAGGGCGCTGAGTGGTTATCGACGCCAGCATCGATGGCGACGGGGTGCGTGCATTCAAGTGTTCAAGGGCGGCATGCGAAGGCCGGACAGGAAGGGAGAGGCTCGCAGACGACAGCGACGGTGAGGATCATCAGTGGGAAGACTTACGGGAGACGAAGTGATCTTGGCTCTATCAGGGCACGTCCGCGAAGAGACAAAAAAAGTCGTGATGACAAAAACAACGATCCGCGACGTGCTGTACTCGTGAGACAACTGTTCGTCAGATGGTGCGGATTGTTATGGTGATGATGTTTCGCCTTGATCCCGTGGGGGACGTGTTCGCCTTGATGGGGAGGGAGTCGTCTTGTCGATGCAAGAGAGTCGTCGTCGCCGTTATCGTCGGGGAAGGGTCGGTAGCTGATGCAGCTGCGAGCGCCCTGTCGAGTGGAGTCGGGTGAGAACAGAAGAAGCGACGAGAAAAGTCAGTTCAGGCGTCGTGGGATGAATTCGCGTAAGAGCTGAAGTATCGCTGTGGTTGGTCCGCAGGGGGAACGTTCGTCGTCGTCGATGGTGGTAAGGGGGAGGCAGAGCCTTGGGGTTAGAGGTCAGAGGAAAAAAAACCAAAAACCGATGCCCGAGGGGGGCAAGTGGGTTTGAGGGGATGACTTCGTGTTTTGTGTTGAGCGGGTTTCCGACCGGAAGGCGAGGGCGGCGGACGGGCGGGCTTCACTTCACCTCAGCTCACTCAGAGGGGGGGCGCTCTGTTGTTGTGTGATGCTGTTGAGTGCCGTTGGGACGCGATGTTTCTCTCTCGAGGGTGCAGAATGCAGGTGCAGCGACAGACAGCGTAGCAGAGGCAGCAAGCAGGAAGCGCGGGATCGCCGGGGTGGGCAATGCAGAGGGGATTCAGGGCGGTAAACAGGAGGCAGCGTGTGCCTCTCTTTCGCGTGTATGGGGAAGCAGAAGAGGTTTTTCTGGCGATGCACCGGATCGGTCAAGATGGGGACAGCGAAGAAAGGAAAGGTCGGGTCTGAGGCAGGGCGCTAGCAAGGGGGAACAAGGACCAGGCAGGAGCAGTACCAGGGCTTCTCGAGCATCAACAGGCAGTGACGGTGGATGCTGGGCGGGTCGATGGGGGGACCGTCTAAAAAGCTGGGAGGGCGCGAGGCCACTGGGACTGACTTCCCGGGACCTACCAGCCTGCCTAGGTAGGTACCTGGGTACCTAATACCTACCTACCAGTGAGACGTAGGTAGGTTCCGTTGTAGGTAGGGAGACAGCTGGCGGCTCACAGAACCTTGGTCCCTCCACTTCCAGTGGCCGAGACTCTCAGATTTTAGTGACAGTCACCAGCCCAAGCCACTGTGTGCCCCTGCCTCGAGGCCTGTGTTGCGCCGGTACCAAGATGCCAAAGCTTGGCCTGGCTGTGGCGGTGTCGGCCGATATCTTGCCTTGTATCAACGACCAGGGCTACCTAGGTAGGTACCATGTAGGTAGATATCATACAATCATTCATAAGCTTCGAAGCCCGGCCTATGGTATCTCTGCTGATTTTTTCTTCATCTTTCGTGGTAAAGGCGGTCAAGAAACCACAGCCGCAGCTCAAGGCATGCGCCTCAAGCATTTCAACGCAGTCGGCATATATCACCAACGCTATTCGCACTTGGACGACCCCTGTCCCGACTGACGACCCTATATAAGCAGGGAGAACCCCTCATTGGCAGCTTTACCAAAAGCAAATCGAGTCGGTGGGGGGCCGCGAGCAACAACAGATATCTGTCCAGTTGCGAGGAACATAGAACTGCTTCGTTTGTCAGCCAGCAAGAAAAACAAAATGACCTCTCGCCTTGGTGAGTCAATCCCCTCCATTTAGATGATCGACCGCCAGCTCCTGTCCTGCCACTCTTTCCGCGCGCCCTGGTCCGATGCATCTCGTCTTTTAGGCGGCCCTACCATCTTGAACTACCACTAGTCATGCTTCGTCAGACAAGCCGGCGCTGCATTTGCATACAACCTACTTGCTTCCCTGGTTACCGAGCTGCACAGCCGCCAGAACTCTACGTCAGTAGTCGACCCCCCCAGCCGCCAATTGACAATGCGAACATATGTAGCCAGAGGCTTCATACCATGATGAGACGAGCCCCGAATACTCGTCTCGACTCTTTCTCGCTGCGTGATCGGCTGCGCTGGAGTAGCTCCAAGGCCGAGACCTCCGGAGGACTCGTATCACCCCGTTCGCGCACCGGCCAAAAGCAGGACAGGCAGGCCGGCTTGGCAAGCCAGGCCCGATAGCCTTGTAGCGTATTTTCTCTCTCCTGCAGACATCTGGGTCCTGGAGGTTCTGCTCAGCACGCCCAGTCAACCCCTCCCGTAGGTAAGGTAGCCATCCATTCCCTCACTCAGCCCCTTCCCCTGAACATCAACAGGGTCTTGGCACCGCACCCCTTTCTCGCCTCCCTCCCCTCCCCCTTTGAGGCGCGCTTGCATTACAGGGCACTGGTTGGCCCGTCGTTTTCGCTCGACGCCCGGCCAGGCACATTTCCCATTCGCTGCTGCAGCTGCGGGCACCCTCGAAAACTGGTAGGCAGCATCCAAACCAGACAGATGCGCGCCGTCCCATCTGTCTGGCTGAGGGGCTATTCCGTTGCCTACTCGGCAAGACAGTAGGAGACGAGAGCAAGACGCTTTCTCGGAGTGATGGCAGAGGGCGTGAGAGGCCACACCTCCGTTACGCCGCATCGATGAAGAACCGTCTGCACACCGCCATGGCTATTCTATTCCGGTCGTATCCAGATCGGTGAGAAGAACAATCAGGCACAGTATATAAATGATGCTTCTTTGCCGTGAGATCGTAATTTGGCCCTCAGAATCTAGGCTGGTGGTGACGTGGGAAACCTCTGTTGAGGGTTTTGCCCCGCTTCAAGCCCCTCTTATGCGTATACTTGGTAGCCCCAGTGTCCGCCCGTACTTGCCGGGGCTGTGGTGGTAAGAACTCCAGAGGTGGTGTTGGCCCTGGGCGAGGTGGTGTGTGTGTGACGCCTTCCTGCGCTGTCATGTCGACCCCACCTTGTGTGCTCTGTGCCCGCTCTCAGCTTTGGTGGGTTGAGCCACCAACTCTTGATGCCCCATTAGCCTGGAGGAGCGTGCTTTCCCCCCTCCCTTTTGCTCTCGGCCCCAAACGAGGAACGAGGGGCAGGCACAACGAGGGGGGTGAGGGGTAAAAAGAGCAACACGGCGCCTCCTCAGGGTAGAGGATAGTCACATGACCTGAGCCAGACGTCCAACCAGCCAGGCCTCCGCTTTCGCATCGAGCCACTACTTGCAACCTTCACAAGCTGCGCATACTACATTGCCTATTAAAAAGGCCCTCGTTCGCTGCCAGCTCACGTCTTGTCTCAGCGCCCACCCATCCCCCTCAGAACACGTTTTCATCGCACAGTTGCCCGGGAAGGCAGCCTTGCCCCCTCCCCTCTCCTCTCTTCCCATCCTCTGATAGCATTCAGAAGGTTACGAATCGTAGATCAGATCATCGCTATTGGCGCGTCGGCTCGGCGGGCTTGGGCCCCACTAGCCTGGTCCACTGGTCACTGGTTACTCTTCGTCCCATATCGACGTTCGCCCTGCCGCCGAAACCGGATGGCAAACACTGCCAGGGACAGGTGGCAAGGGGGAGGGATATAATAGCGATGCCGAGGCTTTGGTGTGTGTGTGTGTGTGTGTTGGCAGCATCTCGGCTTCTCGGTCGCGTTTCCAGGTGTCTGAAAGCAAGGCTGAAGTTTGGAATATGCCCTTATTGGAAACACCAAATACTATGCCCAACTGCTACGACATGACCGTAGGCTTTGGTGTGACATGCATACCATATCATCAGCCAGTCCCGAAATTCGGTGTGATGTGTGAATATAGACGTAAACATCCCGAGAGCCAAAATGCTCCCAGAACCGCACGGGGTTCCTCGCACACTTCACAAAACTCACAGTCGATCAAGTCTGGCAGGAAAGAGAAGGCATGGAAAAGGTTTACAAGACTCTACATTTGCAACTGCACGGCGGCCCTGACCCAGGCCGCGCCCCAAGGTACCTTACTACTGACCATCCCTCGCCTTTCCTCCCCTAGCCTCTTGCCCGCCAGCCTGATGAACGCCACGCAAAGCAAGGCCGTCCTAACGACGGAGAGAAGAACACGTGGACGCAGAAAAAAAAAGACACGATACCAAAGACACTGTTTGCATAAGAGCACATCTCCATCCCTACAAGGTCTGACAAAGACTGGGGGATAACAGGGAGGGGGCCGTACCTCGCGTCTCGCCTAAACGCCGCTCCGTGATATGGATGAAAAGAAAAACACAACAGGAGTAGAAGCAGGGGAGAGAGAAGAAGAATAAGAAGGAGGAGGTGGTGGAGGAGGAAAAACAAACTCATCCCCTGTGGGGTATACTGCGCAACCCTTCCTTTCTCCTCGGCGAAGATAAAACTTGACCTTCGCCCAGATACAAGTACAAAACGGGGTAATGGGTGGGTTCTGAAGAATAAGCCTTCACGGGTGGACAAATTGCCGTCTGACAGCTCATCGCCGGCGCGTAGAGCTGCGCGTCTTTTTGCGAACACGGGTGCTCGCCTTGGCTTTGCTGACGATTGTGTCCACAATGACCTCACTGCTAGCTGCGGCGCCGTTGGGCGATGCCGTGATGGTGCTGTCATCGACGTCGAAGCCCAGGCCCTCAAGCTCACGGTCGTCCATATCGGAAAGCTCCTCGCTGAGGCTACGGATGGCGTCGCGCCCAGGCCACTGGTCCGCAAGGATGGTTGTGCCTCGCAGCTTGAAGTCCTTGAGGTGCCATGCGAGGCCGCCTTCGGACAGGGGGTCATTCGACTGCGCGCCGAGGCTGCCGATTGATTGGGGCGGTGTCGGAGGCGCCGGCTGCTCCGGCGCGGAGTTGCTCTGGTAGCCATCGGAGGCGGGGGGTGTATCAGAAGCGCCCGCGACGCCGTTTGTCAGAGCTGCATAGGCCTGCTCCGCGACCTTGCCGTTGCCTTCGAGGCCGGCAACCGACGAACTGGAGGAGGGAAGCTTGCCCTTGTCGTCAATGTTGGAGGTGGCGACCTCGATACTGCCGTCGTCTTCTTCGCCAACAGCGTCAACCTCCATGGCATCTACATCGCCGCCTTCTTCTGCTCTATCCTTCTCGACATGGCCATTTGCGACCGTGATTTCCTCGATCGAAGCATCCGCCATCACCACATCGTGGTCAGCATCTATTGTCTTCTCCCCATCGTCATTCGACAGAGACTTGAACTCGATGCTGGCTTCCAACATGCCTTCCAGCTCCTTTGTCAAAGGATCAAGTGGCTTAGAGCTGATCTCTGCCTCGGTTCGAAGGGCTGTCTCGAGCTGTGGCTGAACAGCCTTGAGGATGCGCTTCCCCAGTGTTTTCCTCTGTCTCGGGTCCTCGTATGACACTTTCCCAAGCGTGGTAGCGACGAGCTCTTCATCCGCCGTCTCCACTTTCTTGATCTCGGTGTTGATGCCCACGCTGATGACTTCACACAGGTCATGCGCAAACGCTAACGTCGTCGTGTAGAAGCGAACGTCCAGCTGTGACTGAAGCTTCACCAGCCCGTCGTAGAACACACCCTTGTCCAGCCTGCCACATTGTCAATAAGAATGAAGTGAGGTAATATCGCGGGTTTCACTTACGCGAGCGCCTTCTCGACCACCGGGAAGAAGAGCTTCGCCACCGGAAAGTAACATGTGTCCACAAAGTCTTGCTCAAGCTCAGCAGCCTCCAGTTTGAGCTGCTCGCGTTCGACGACCTTGGCCGACAGGTCCTTGAGTTGCTCCAGATCACGCAGCAGCGTCTCAGCAAATTCGATCCGCCTCTGCAGCCTGGTTTTACCTGAGGGACCCATGCCTGCAAAGTTCCTACGAGTGAGTTCCATGGACGAAAAGGTCTCCATCTGCAATTGCAGTCGTTTCAGGAGCGCCGCACCCCTACGCGCCTCCCTTTTCAGGGTCCAATACCGACATGCTTCGCTGACGAAATCTTTTCGTTTCCTAAAGGGGAACCGAGAAAGAGCCATTTCGACAATGTCGAAAACGGTTCTAGGAATAACAGGCGCACCAGAGGGAAGTTTCCATATCGGCTTTCCGGGCTGCCCCTTCTTGCTGTCGCCCATCATGGACAGCTTCGCGCCAGTCATCTGGCTTTCATCGGGGGCATGATCCGTCAAGGCGTGACGATGGGTCGCCGCCAGCGCGTGCGCGACCACCTGGTTGTCCGCCCAGATGCGACCCTTCATGGTCTTCTTGTAGAACCGCTTCGCATCCCGCGTGGCCTGAGCGACGCCATTCTCCTTGGTGTAGTCGGGCGGGCAGTGCTTGTCGCAGTACGCCTTGAGAATCATGCTGTTGTCAAGAACAGCAAGCGCGCCTTGGCTGTTCTTCATTCTTAGAAAGAGCCTTGACCTCCGTGCGCAGGTGACGTGAAATGCCTGATAACAGGACTTGTTGCTGCATTGGATGCAGGCTCCCATCTTCTGATCGCAGATGTAACATGTTAATTTCCAGCGGGTTTTCGGAACCTTATCCACGTCCATGACTGGCTCCATGAAGGTATGATTGCCCAAGGACACCTCAGGAATCCACATGGCGCACAGTAGGTGAGCCCACTTGCTCGAATTGGTTTGCTTGAAGGCGCCATCAGTCGTAGGGCAGAATATGCAGGTCTGGACATCAAACGTTAGCTGTCAGACTCCGCCATCTTTCGGACGCCGCCCATGCAGACACTTACCGGTATTCCGCGGCCGATCAGCTGGCACTTTCTGCAGAGCCACTGGCCCTCGGGGATAAAGGGCACACCGTAACACTCTTGATGGACTGCCAGGTCGCAGCCATCGCAGAAGACAATGGCGTTTGTGTTCTCGCAGTCTCCGTCATCACAGATGGCACATTTTGAGTCTTGTTCTTCGCCCACTTGCGGTTCGCCATTGACGGCTGCTGCTGAACTCGACCTCGGCCTGTGTGTCTGTGGTGGCTTCGGGTTAGGCTTGGGGATGCGTTTCTCTAATGCATGCCACTCCTTTTCGATCTTGGTTAACGCAATTTCGAATACCTCGCGAGTGATGGGCTCGAGCTCGTGGCTCTTCCGCTCAATATTGTAAGCTTCGAGCCACATGTCATCTTGCTCGTCCATATCGTACTCGACACGGCCCACAGGGGCGGACGTGAGGAGAGGCGCGGCCGGCTCGCCGTCGGGCTTCATGGAGAGCGCGGTATCCATGTCATCCTCGACATTGGCGTCGGTTGCCTTGAGCATTCTACGCTCTGGTCGGATGTACTGGTCGCTTTCTTGGTATCCCACATTCATCATGGATTTGTCGACATATCTTGCCTGGCCAAAGCCCTTGCCTTCAAACTGAACGATGCGATCAGATCGACGATATGAGGGTGCTTTCAGGTCTAGCCTCTCCTTCGCCGTCTGATTTCTGATGGGCAAGACTTGGGGCGTCTTGGGCACCGCCGCGGCGGGCACATCCCGAAGCGAAAAGTAAGAGGCTGATTCTCGTGTGGGACGGGTAGCCCGGCGCTTTTGAGGCGATTCTGACGCGCCGGGCTGAGAGTCTGCCCCCGGGTTCGGAGTGTTACCCGTCGACTCGGGGTTGACCTCGCGTAGTGGCGTACTGGAGGCGTGGTTGGAGGACGACAGCGCAACCGGCGTCGCTGGCGCTGCGGGTGGTTGAGATAGTCCGTCGACCTCTTCCGAGCGAAAGACCTTAAAGGTGGCCTCGATGTCGAGGTTTGGGTGGAACTCCTCCCACCCGCGCTCCTCGCGAGGCTTGTAACCCTCGTTCTGGGCAACGGCAGCTGCGACCGCGGCAGCCGAGCTAAACTCCATATCGCCATGATCAGCCGCCGTGCGGATGCGGGTGCTTCTCTCCCGCCGCGGTATCGTAGCAGTCGTAGCGGGGACGCGCGGCTCACGCGGAGGTCTCGGGGTGCGCATTGCGCTAGGAACGTTGAAGGTAATGGTGCCATCTTCCTCGATGAAGCGGCCACCGCCTCCAGCGCCACCAGGTATATATCTCCTTCGTTTTGGCGGGGGCTCGGAGCGAGCAGCGGCGCTGGCGCCGAAGGCTGTTGTTGGGGTGGCCACCTCTCGCGTGGGCCGCGAAGAGGTCGCGACTGGTGGGTTGGCGGCGTCCTTGTCGCGAACGGGTCGAGTCGACGAGGCAGTGGTCGGAGTCGATATGCGCTCACGACTAGGGCGTTTGGAGATGGTAGTAGGCGCTGACACGTCGTCGTCGTCGAAGCCGAGGAGAGCAGTCGAGGACACAGATGGTGGCGCTGGTCTGGTCCTCTTGCGGCTCGCAGTCGGTCGACGAGGGGTCGCAGGCTTGGACGCCATGTCTTCGGCTTCGGTATCTGCACTTCTTTCGGTCTTTCGAGTCATCGAGATGATCGGAATGGTCAATCACCGCGTCGTGGGTGGAGGCGCGGAGACTCGTGATGCGGCTTGACGGAGGTGGGGGGCATTTGCGTGGATGCGCAGAAGCGCGTTCGCCCGGGTCACAACCAAAGCTTTGGACGGCGTGATAGGTCTGCAAGCTCTTGATGAATGCCTCTGGGTATTGTAGGAGTCTGGCCGTATTCAAACTGTAGATTGTAGAGTCTCCTCACGAAAACATAGTCAACGCGTGAAGTTGGAACGCACGGACCTGGTTGCCCCCTTAATCGCAAGCGCACCTCGCGCACCTACCAGCTGGCCTGTCTGTGTGCCCACTTCACCCAGGCCAGAGGCCAAAGTGGGCCATTCCGGAACGTCAAGGTGGGTGCCGCCCCACACGCCATCGTGAGGCAGGGGGAGGGGGGCTCAAAACGGAGAGGCTTAGTCATTCATGCTGAGCATGTTCAGCGGAATCGACACGGCCTCTTCGTTGCACATAGCACATCAGCATGCGATGATCGTGAGTGCCATTTGGGACAGCTCCATTTTTCCCTTTTTGTACTCGTGGCATTTCCTTCCACTGGCCTTCAATTGCAAGCTAACAATATCTTGCCTCACGGTGACCCCAAATTCACAAACACTCATCGCGTTGCGGCTCATACCCTCGACGAGGTGGCGAAAGAAATCAAATCCTTCAAAGCCAACTGCAAAAAACCAGAACTCAACCATTGAAGAGAAAGGCGGCTTTGGTGGGAGAAGCAAGAATGTCTTTGAGGTTCTCAATTTCGTAGGGCTGCCCATTGGCCTACGTAGTCCGACCGACCTTGCTCTCCGCAACACCACTAGCAATGACAGATACATGTTCTAGCCGCCAAATCGATCAAACACCAGGCCCAGGGTGGGAGCAGCCAATCATGCTGTGAGCGCAAATCTGCGGCTGTCCCTGACCTCAATGCCACGCTTCCCAATGCGGAGCTCGTTTGACGCCAGCCAGCCAAGGGGGAAGAGAGATTCTTTATTGATTCAATTTACCCCAGGTTTCCACAACTGTCGATCCCGTCACCTTACTCAAGTCCGTGCCACTCTGCGACAAGAGGCAAAGCTTACCCTGGCCCTTGTCCCACTCGTCGAGCAGCCGTTTGAGCCGCCTACTATTCGACCACAGACGTGTCGACGACCTGTTCCATTCGAGACAAGACATGCCATCATTTGTCTGCCTGGTGCAGTCGCAGTGGTAGCCAGCTTTTCTTCAACAAAGTCAAATCAGGCGTAGCACAGAAATTCATGTGTTGAAAAGTGGAATGCATGTCTCTCATGTATTAGAACCAAACACCAGCTCATCTTGACCTGCGGTCCGCCCCTATCTGCATGCAATAGTGCCTTCCACGCGAACAGATGCGTCTTTTTTCCCTTCTTCCATGCTAACAATGGACAAGAGCCACCAATGTGCGAAAAACTTCGCTCCTCTCACAAACGCCGTTGTCAAAGTGAAGTGAAGTGAGAAATAGACCACAGCAGCATCCCTTCTGCAGCATGCAGCAGCAGAACAAGACCTACAGCCAAATTGAATCATGAAGCCATGTCCAACTCAGTGGTAGAAAAGTGAAGAAAGGTCAAAAATGAATTCGAAAAGATCCGCCCGTCTCGTCCCAACGCCGTATACGCTATGCTAAAAAAAATACATGCTCAAAGAGTACTTAAACAGGCAACCAAAAGGGTGAAGTGAAGGGGTGGTGGCTCTCTTTGAGGTTCAAGCTAAAGCAACGCTTTAGTTGAGAACCGTAGAATCTCGGGCCAGTTGGGGTATCATGAAATATCATGAGGAGTGAAGGGGGTATCATATGCAAAGACTGGTCTGGGACTTAGCCGAGCGTGCGTCCACTGAGGATAGGCGACGGTTGTGGTTGGGTATGAGTGCTGGAAGTGCGTGGAGTGGTAGGGCTGGACCGTATGGTTGAGCCGGCGCTGAAAGTGGGCACGGTATAGCTCGGTGGACGAGAGGGATCCCAGCTCTCCTCACTGAGCGCACTGAGATACCCATTCCCGACTTTGTCACGGAGCGCCTCAATTTTCTGGCGGTATAGTTCGCCGCTGACGTCCCATTCTTGGGAATCCTTCCAACTATTGATTCCGTTCTCGGATGTATAAAGAGGAGGAAGCTCGGGCACCACGGTCGCATCAAATCGTGGCACTGCTGGCTGGGAGATTCCCTTTCGTGAATCGGACAGGACCACGGGAGGAAGTAACTGCTCCTTCGGCAGTTGGGTCGTCCGATAGATATCTGCAACGGGCTTGGCGGTCGGGACATTTTCCGTCACTACCCTGATACCTGCAGAAGCAGAAGGCGACACGGCTGGGGCAGCGGCGGCGGTCAAGGCGGTTTCTGGGGTTGCAAGGTCGACAATGCGTCGCTTTGGCGCCTTTCGACGTCTGGTCGAGCTGGTGTTGACTTCGCTGGTGACGGCCTTGGGTGTGGGCCGTTCCTTCCGCGATGAGGAGAGGGTTTCTACGGGGTCATCGTATATGATCGCAGGCTTGCTCACATCGACCGCAGGCAGATCGGCGGTCGGAGCCTTGACAACTGGCACTGCAGCAGGGACGGGCGCTCTTTCAACAAGGTATCGCCGTTCCGAGTAGCTAGGGCCTACGTTGTCGATCACAATATCTTCTGTGTAACCCGGCGTTTTCCGGAACAGATTGAAAATTGTAATGCGGTAGTCCCGATGAGTTTTAGTGAACGGATTCCCCTCGACCCAAATCTCGCGAATGTCGGGGATACCGGTGAGTCTGGCAACCTCCAGCGGGTCAGTGATGCGATTGTCCCTCAGATCAAGACGCTCTAACGGATACAGCTTCTCAACGCCGGCCAGTGACTGAAGCCGGTTGCCGCGAAGGTTGAGAGCGGTGATGGCCGGCAGCGGGTTTCGGGTCAGAGAGTGCAGCGAGTCGATCATGCAGTGAGACAGGTTTAGGGCTCGAAGGGCGGTTAGGGTGGCAAGGCTGTCAGGGATTTGCACGAACAAGTTCGAGGACAGGTCGAGGGAGTGCAATGTGTTGGCCAGTGGGGCCAAGCTCGAGGCGGGAATCGATGTCATGGAGTTATCGGGCAAGCTCAAATGTTTGAGGAAGCGCCACTTCGAAGCCGGCAAGATGCCCATATTGAGCATATTGGACGAGCTCCCTGGACGAGCGTGGTGCCAAGAGTCGGACAGGCTGGAATGCGAGCTCCCTGAGCCAGATCTCCGGACTTTGTGGCCACCTCGTACGTTGGTGGAGGTGTTGCGGGAGGCCATAGGTCGCGTCGGAGAGTTACTACGCGGCCTATTGGACTTTGTCGGGGACCTAGGTTCGTCTGTTTCGGCCCTGGCGAGAGACATTCGCCTGCCGTCTCCAGAGCCAACCTCCAGAGTATGGTCACTGGGAGTCATGGAGCCGACCCGCATGTCCCCATGGCTTTGGGGGTCAGGAGAACCCGGTGCAGAGGCAGAACGGTGAAGCTCGGCATGCGTTGTGTTGGGACTGCGTCGCGGACTAGTACTCGTAGGCCACGGCGTCGTTGGGGAGGATTGCGACTTTGAGGTGCGTCTTCGACGTTTATCCATGTCATCCAGGACAATGTCAATAAGGATGTCAGCAGGATCGTCCACGCCAGCACGCTTCAGCGTCAAAGAGCGAAGCTGGTCGGCGAGACGGTCCCAGCCAAAGAACTGCCGGAAGTCTATGCTGCTGACCTCGAGAGCTTGGACGTTCTTGAAGACATAAAGCGGCACAGCTGAATCGAACGGAAACTCCTCATAGCCACGAATCAGGCGGGCGCGCCAGTCAGGCGAAAGCCGGAGGCAGGGAATCTTGGTGAACGCGGAGTAGAGGTATTTTAGATCGGCTTGTAGAGCGGCCTTCTGCCTCTCTGTGCGAGCCGCAGAGATACTGGCACCGATGCCAAAACTAGCCCAGAGAGCAGACATGCCAGACACGACGCTTCGCACACTGGACACCGAGTGAATGGAGCCAACATCAGATTCGCGGCTGCGAGAGCGCTGAGTGTTGCCGAGGAAGGACACATAATTGGCCGAGGTGGAACTGTCATGCAGGTTCTCCAGCCTAATCTTCATGGGTCCAACAGGGGTGCCGAGTTCCTCGAATCGAGAGAGAAGATAGAATAGGTGATGAGGGGTCAGGGCAAGCTTGGCTGACTTGGCGCTGTGGGAAGTGAAGCTCAAGGAGCCCAGTGACAGGGCAGCGGCAAGCCCGGAAGAGGTGGAGGCAGACGTCGATGGCCGTTCGGGGAGTGTCGAAGGCGACTGGGGCACCGTGACAGAACTTACGCTCTGCGAAGAGCCATGGCGGGAGACAGTCTGTCGTCTGAACTGTAGAGCATTGGCAAGTGCCTTCTCGTGCGTGCGCACGAAACTGGCCAATTGCTGACAAAAGTGTTAGACGCAAGGGGAACCATCTGAAGGAGATTGCGGACGCACTTTAATGAAAAACTCCCCGTCTTCGGAATCCATCTTCATTCAAGGAGATGAACGCATCAGGGGCTGGCTGTAAGATGTTGTTTGGTCGGATTTTACAGGATGGAGGCGCCGACAGAGAACAGCGAAGTCTTGCCGGGAGGTTCTCGATGTCAAGAAGCGCGGAGTGTCTGAATCGGCAGCACCGGACCTGTTTGATAGAAGCTGTCAGTGGAAAATCCTTGGTTGATTCCCTGAATTCAAAAGAGGAAAATCTGGTCATCGGGCAGAGAGCCCCTTCCCGCTGATATAACGCAACGCTGCGAGGGTTTTCCAGGTACGGTTCGAGGGACAAGACCAAATGGTTGGACACAGCGTTTCGCCATGTAGCACTGGTGGTGCAAAAGAAGGGCAAGTGCAAGGTAAATGATGACCCGAAAGACGCTGACGGGCTGGCGACCGTGGCGAGTAACGTCGAACGTACGCAGGCACACGAGTCGGACACTCTCACGACATCGGACAGGCAAGTGTGTGCGAGGCGATAGGTTTGCAAAGTTGGCCACTGATACAATGAACAGGATGCAGAATGAAGCGATCACAGGCGGCGCAAAGTTGAGCAGCAGGCATAGTGTTGCAAGGCCGGGTCGAGTTGAGTCGAGTCGAGTCGAGTGAAGCGGGAACCCATTCAGTCGGACAGAGTGATACAAGAAAAGGCAGGCAGCGCAAAAAATGAACGGCGTGACTTACCACGTACGATAAGTGAAAGAGTCTTCTTCGAATCTACTATCGAAGTCCTCCTTTTGTACAGCACTCTTGTTCGATACTGGCAATCTAGATGCCTCGTCGTCGTAGACTGGAGGAGTGAGGCTCGGGGGGTCGAGTCGAGGGTCGGAGGTTGGCTTCGGAGGCCAGGAGGAGGAGGTGGAGGAGGAGGAGGAGGGCGACGAGGTGAGGTAGTCGCAAGGTCGAGATGTAGGTAGGGAGGATCGAAGGGACGCGATTTGGGTGCCCGGCTATGGATCCCCTCCGCGATGATGCTCGCTCTACTCTGGCTGCACTGAAGACAGCGACAGTGACGGAGTGAGGGAAAAGAAGGGGTCTTTTTTCGGTGATGGAGGGGAGGCTGGAAGGGGTCTGGGTTTAATAATAACAATGGGCAAGTGCCTGCCAAAATCTGCTGAGCGCTGGATGGGGGACTTCAGGCCTGGCACTGGGCAATGGGCGATGTGCGATGGGCAACATGGGGGGGGGAGGAGGGGCATGGGCAGGGGACCTGTGATTTCTGAAAGTCAGGGAAGCAAGCCCCTTCGGTTACCAATGCCTTGACGACCTGAAGTGTTCGTGGCGGCAGCAGCGACAGCAAGACACCAAGCACGACTGCCTGCGAGTGACTGGTGGGCTCGTGCAGAGATGGGCGCACCAGGGTGCCCTGAACATGTTCCACACGTCTCCACTGGCAACGCTAGCGCAGACCCTGGCATCCTGGCGAGCGGGCTGGTCATTTGCTGATTGACTGAGCAGTCGGGCTTGGCGCTTTGTACCAGGTACTTTGGGACGAATGCGACGCCAGTAGGCATGCCCGTAGTGGCTTTTTCTTCGCTCATCTCGCCCGTTTGCCGCCGCAGAGGAAGCGACGACGAGGTGCCAACAGCAGCTGCACCACCCAAACCACGATCATCCAGCACCCGGCCTGCGGAGGCATCATTGGCTGCTGAGGCTGCTCTCGTCGCTCCTGCTGCTGCACGACTTTCATGCTCCTGCCTCATGCTTCATGCCTCACCTCGACGGACGAGATGCACCAGCACTGCACGGCTGCATGGCTGCTGCACGGCCTTTCTTTTTGCATCTGTCCCTTTTATCTAACCCACCTCATCTCCCCGAACGAAACCTCGCCGCTAGAGGCATCACGATACAGTCAGCTTCGCTGCCCGCCGTCTCCTTGTTCCTGTTTTTGGGCACAGGATCTCCTCTGGATGGTATCAGCACCCCAGCCATATGACAGCCCAGCCTCGCCCATGACCACAGCCCAATGATCAGCTGAGAGTCGCCGCCGCACAAGTCACGATTGCAGTCGAGAGATTCGGGCCTCTCGTGTCTTGGGCCTCGAGGACGTGCGACGTGGGGCCTGAAGGGTGGGTGGCACATTGTGATGTGCCCAGGATGGCCCGGACCACCATCTCTTCCTCTCGATCTCCCAGTCTCTCTCTCTCACACACTTTCTACCCTTCCGCGCCCCCTCCCCTCCTGGTGGTTGTGTACTTGTACAGTACCTGAGTACCTAGGTAGGTGTGTGGGTGTGTGGGTTAGATTTGTGAGCTGCTCACCTGCTGTCTTGGCAACGCAGCAGGATGCGCAGATGGAGAAACATTCCGCTGCCGAAGCGACTGGCGTGACCTGTTTACCCAGTCACGAAATTTGAGCATACATGGTACATCGTGAATCTCATCGACTGGTGTTGTGGTGGGCATTGTGGGCACGATGACATCGACGAGCAGATTGTCGCGCGCTTCGTCCGAAGCCCAATGCCGCTCGACGACCACTCGCCATGCGAACACCTCTAGCAGATCCACCAGACCGCTTGTCGGTACATCTGCCGAAATCTATGAGGCTGACGATGCACCATGCAAAGAGACGGTGAAGGTCGAATTGGAGCTCATCGCGCGCGCAAGAGTCAGTCGAGGAATATCGTCAGACGGCGATCGACCTCTGACAGACACGGCGTGGCCGTGAACCACTCCGCCGTGGAGACGGCCAACGGCACCGACGCGGTCACAAACCAGCTCCGGAGAAGCCAAGAGCCCTCGAGCCTTGTTTTCGAGATTCAAAACCCTTCGCGCTTTTCGAAGGGGAGATTCCACTTTCATGCGCACCAGCATCAGGGATCGTCGCACCCCTCCTGTTTACCATACGCTACTTGGCACGCTACCAAGGAAAAACATATGGGGCTTTCGTCGGAAACAACGCCCGCCGCCTCGGGTACCAGAATTCCCCTCGTTACGACAACAAAGGACAGAAGACAGACAACATGCCACTGCACTGACGAAGCTGTTTGATGCCAGCCGTCCACATGGGAAGACGTTCGCTCGACATTCCAATCAGGTAGGGCACGACACGGCCCGGAAGACATGGTCATCAGCCTCGAACACGCGAAACGACAAATCAGCGTTGCCGACGGCCCAAATCTTGAACACCTACAATCACACCTCATTTCCTCGCCGCCTTCTCCAGTTGGCACGCGAGACATGCCATGCCCTTTGATGCCGTCTCCATTGATTTCCGAGTGGTGTGTTGCTTCTGCCAGTTTCAACTCTGCCGAACGGCCTGCGCTGTGTCTGGCATGACAGGCGCACGCCAAGGGCAACTCTAACAAGTACGTTAGTCCTCTCAGCGCTATTGCATCCTGCGGCGCCTTCGGCCGCTTTGCCAGTATTGTCCCAATATCAAATCGTTGCCAACTCATTCCCCATTTGAGCCAACTACGCACGCCATGCCCCAACCAGGAAATCACGGGTCCGTCATGTCGAGCTCCCGGCTGCCCGCCACAGTGCAGAGCCAGCCTTGTTCATAAATTTGTCACGACTCGTCCCGCTCGTTCCCGCCGACGATCCCTCCAACCTCCCGGTCCGCACATCGTGTCTTTATAATGGCGCTTCTGGGCGTGCCATCTATCTGCTCTTCAAAAACAGGCTCCTATTTCCTCTGGCTTCACATGAGCTCCTTGTTTCATGGTGCGCACATATTGAGTGTACGTAGTAAGGTTGCTAATAAGCAATGCGTCACCAAACCCCGTTGCAGGAAGTGCCCAGGAGACCCAGTTGGGACTCTCCGAGCAGCTTTTCGCGAACATAACACATATTTTTCAAGCCAGCGCATTCTCGAGATGCACACCCTCGGCACCAGACGACAATTATGTCATGGTCCACCGTACCAGATGCCGCGATGCTGGTTGATTGGTGAATTGGGAACAACTACTGATGCACGATAGGCCTCGTTATTTGGCGCGATGGATGTCATCTTGCTGGTACAACCCCTGCAATCGCCCCTCCACCCTACTAGGTCACAACTACATGGGGATGGGGCACACCTCACACCTGCAGCCACGCCGTATTCGTGCAAGGCGTCCTACCCTATACTCCGACTCAGTTGGTGACTAAAGCACAGCGATCACCACCCAGGTCTCCAAATCCCGCGCCAAACGGCCGCGTACGTGGTACTCCAAGAAATCGCCGTCGTACAGTACGCGGGGTTGCTTTAATTATTCATAAAAATATTGCACCCAGATGCGCTCCACGAGGAGCATCGATCCGGACCAAGCGACGACGTGCAACTTGTCAAGGTGATAAAGCACACAAAAAGCTTGCCATCCCAACATGCAAGCAACAGACAGATTGATGGGTATGGGTTCTCGAGCTACGGTACGCCCTGGACCGGATAGATCACCAACCCTCCTGCAAGCAGAGATCCTCACCGCCCCTGGATCGTCAGGTCAGGGCCAGGTCAGGGCCGTTATTCTGGTGGAAGGAGGCTTTGATATGGAATGCGCGCCCATCTGCTGTTTCTTGTGGTGGTTGCCGCGCTGATCACACCACGACTGATTGTGCCACTCCAGGCTTCATTTTCAACGAAAGGTGGTGTGCGTGCAATGCATCCTCTGAGGCTCGTGGTGCCGGGGCTGCCGTTTGCCGTTGGACTCTCTCGTCATGTGGTCTCTATCATGTAGACATGGCTTCGCACGTTCGAAGTATGAGCCGCCAAAGCTGATGACGACCAGACAGTGGGTCATGAGCAGTGCCCATATTGCAGTGATGCAGCGAGTCGCACCTGACAAAACGACAATCAGAAGAGACTATCATTACAGACACGTCGAATGATTTCGCCCTCCACAACTATGTCCTATCGACACTTGAATGGATCAGTGTCGCGGATTTGATTCTGCGGCCGCTGAGCCCAGAAACTTGACGGGATCAGCGATGGAGGGCACAGTCTAGTAAGAGGACCCCTCACCTGTCGTGCAACCCCCCCAGAACGGTGAAACAAGGGCCAAACCAAGAGACCGACCGACCGATAATTCAACCTTTTGACTGCAGCGGCTGCATCAACTGCAGTCGTCGTGAATCACGCGCCGCGGACACGGAAGCAAGGGCGTGAGACATGCTCTGCTCTCAGCTGATTGTTGTCGATGGGACATTTGAGCATGTCGATGGTACTGGAATGATCCCCAATCATCGATGTCCCCAAGGGCCGTCCAGAGGTGAACTGCCAGAACGCGGGCCAGTAAGGACGATGCATGGTCGGCTCATGGACAGATGGTGCACCATTGTCTCAGCCAATGGATCGTGCGGGCAGCACACATTTGCCTTCCTGATGTAGTCGCTTGACTCGTGGGGCAGTTATCCTCACCCCAGGAACGTCTTGGCTGTCGGACAGAGCGGAGAGGCCAAGGGAGGTCGGATCCAGGAGATGTGCCACATTGCACACGTCAACCTGGTTTCTACGTCGCTCTTGCAACCATGATGGCCATTCTAGGTCAAAGATTGCTCGTGCTTATTAGGGGTCCATGAGGGGTCCTCGGAGGCATTGGAGAGGATCGCCAACCAGGGCTATCAAGACGTCGCTCCGAGGCGCATACATGTACACACCAATTCTCTCCCCTGCTCTTGGCTGACGGGTCCGAAAGAAGAAGCGCCTTTCGCGCCTGTTGCAGAATTCCATCGAACAACTTGTCGACGGAAGCACAGAAACCCCGGATTTTCCAACCTGCAGGCCAAATCACCCCAGAAGACAAGAGAATGAAGGCTTTGGAATGTAAGAGAAGCAACCTCTCATGTTGGTGGCCACGCTTTCCGCAGGGCGATACGCGCCGCTCGCTCACCGCTTCATCGCAGGAGGCTCTTTGCCCCTCAAATCCCTGCGCGCTCACACACCTCCTGCAAGGCAAGATGTCTTGGGTTGCGCAACTGGAATGTGTGGAGGGCACGATGCGCCGCATTGGTCTGGGGTTCTACGGGGGGCTGCTCATACCTCACCTATCATCCTCGCAGATTGTGAGGTAACGTTGA